GTGCATCAGTGACTGAAAGTAAGCAAGCAGATGCAGCAGGTAGTGAAAGAGGCAAATAATATGTTGGCCTTCATAGTGAGAGGATTTGAGATGATTCGATACAGGAGCAGGGATGTCTTCCTGCAATCGTATAGGGCCTTGGGACTGCACCTGGAATATAGTGTGCAGTTTTGGCCTCATTATCTGAAGAAAGATGTTCTGGCGATTGAGGGAATGCAACAAAGGTGTGCCAGACTAATTCCTTAGATGGCAGGACTGATATATGAAGAGAGACTGGATTGGTTAGGACGATATTCACAGAGGTTTAGAAGAATGAGGGGAGATTTCATAGAAACCTATAAAATTCTAACAGGATTAGACAGGTTAAATGCAGGAAGGATGTTCTCACTGACTGGGGAGTCCAGAACCAGGAGTCACAGTCCAAGGCTACAGGGCAGACCATTTAGCACTGAGATGAGGAGAAAACTCTTCATCCAGAGAGTGGTGAGCCTGTGGAATTCTCTGCAACTGAAAGTGGTTAAAGCCAAAATATGTAACGTTTTCAAGAAGGCTTTAGATATCGTTCTTTGGGCCAAAAGAGTAAAAGAATACAGGGACAAAGCGAGATGATCAGCCATGATCATATTGAATGTCAGTGCAGCCTCAAATGGCCAAATAGCCTAGTCCTGTTCCTATTTTCAGTGTTTCTATGTCTCGCCGCTAGACGCCAATCAAGAAAGTTACTGGGAAATTCAGAATGTCCATAATAACTCTTACCAATTTTTATAGATGGACCATAGAAAGCATCCTATCTGGATGCATCTCAACTTGGCATGACAACTGCTGTACCCAAGACTGCCAGCGCAGTCCATCACGAAAGCCAGCCTTCCTTCCAATGGCTCCGTCTACACTTCCTGCTGCCTCGGGAAAGGTGTCAACATAATCAACATTACACTCTCATCCATCCTCTTCCACCAGGCAGAAGATACAAGTGTTTGAAAATATGTTCCAACAGTTTTAAAAACAGCTTCCTCCCTGCTGTTATCAGACTTATGAAAGGACCTCTCATATATTAGAGTTGTTCTTTCTCTGCACCTTCTCTGTAATTGTAACACTACATTCTGCATTCTGTTCTATTACCCTGATGTACTTATGTAAGTATGATTTGTCTGTTTAGCACGCAAAACATACTTTTCACTGTATTTTGGTACATGTGACAATAATAAATCAAATCAAAATTATTTTAGCAACTCAGTACTGTTTTACATCACAGACGAAGAGTATTATCTCTGACAAAGGCAAATCTGATTCAAGACATTAATTCTGTTTCTGGGTCTACAGACCTGCCAGAATTGCTGCAGTTCTCCAGCACTTCCGGTTTTTCTCATTTCACATCACTGGAGTCTTTTTGATGTAAATTAAGAAGTGTGAACAATATTAACACCTAATCATGATTTTGGTATAGTATATATCATGATCATGGTATTGTATCTCTCCATAAGTCAGCATGTTACAGAAGTAATATGTTATCAATACAGTTAGATCACAGTAAGTCAAATTGCTGGGAATCCCCACAAATTCCAGTTAAGTGGAATTTCAAGATAGAAGAGGAGCTTTTTGTGTAACAGATTGCTAACAAATGCAGTCTGTGTAAACAAAAATGAAAACACAGTAAAGAAGTAAATATGAAAAATGGCTTTATTTCCAATGTGTTCAAACTTTACAATGTCCTAGCCTTGTAAAACAAAAGGCGTTCAAAATATTGGGAGTTAAGCCCAGAAAAACAGGGACCCTTTCTGCTTTGCGACTTCAGATGAGCATGGTACAGCCTGCCATGTTGTCAGTTCAGTCAGGCATGTTACCTTGTTTTTGTACTATAGTGTGAAATCTGGGATCATCACTAAGACCTCTGGCACTTCAGCTGGGGAGACAGGTGGGGGAGCAGGCAGGCAATCATCAGACTCCTCAGGACCATCAGGCTGCTCATTTGGCGAATGTACTGTATCTATCCCTGCTTCATCCATCAGTTCCTTTGTGCATTATACAGTGTAATCTACCTCAGGGTAAGTTTCAATGGATATCTCTGCTGAAATTTCCATGCTTGTCTCCTGAGGCAATCGAAAAGAGCCTCATCATTTGGCTAGTTGGTGTCACCCTGCTCCTCTTCATTCTTGGCATCTTGCAAAATCATAGCCTTTTTGAACCCAACATGACACAAGCAGTTGGCAGTCATGGCTCCCGTCACCATTTTCCACACCTCCTTCACCACGAACGGTATCTCTAGACTCACTTCTTATCAATGACTCATAAAGTGAGAGGTCAGCTTCCATATGTGGTTAGTTTTTAGGTGGCTGTACACAGCTTGAGCCATTGGCTGGTGCTTGGACATGGCATTGGAGGCAAGGACATCAGCTTAATCCTCTGGAGATCAAAGTGGGGAAGTTTTCTACATTGATGACAAACAACCTCTTCTTTCTTTGTCACATTTTGTTCATTTTCCTGATCTCTGCCTCGAAAATCCTGCAAGTCATTTAGGCAGTTTTTTTAGCCTCATATTGCATGGATATGTTGAGCGTTTTGACATTCACAAAACAATGTAGCTTCTTGGACTTCAGGGTCATTGAGAAGTATAGCACAGAAACAGACCGTTTGGTCCAACTCGTCCATGCCGACCAGATATCCTAAATTAATTTCGTCCCATTTGCCAGCATTTGACCCACATCCTTCTAAACCCTTCCTATTCATATACCCATCCAGATGCCTTTTAAATGTTGAAATTGTCCCCGCCTCCAGCACTTCCTGTGACAGCTCATTCCATTCACGCACCACCTTCCACGTGAAAAATTTCCCCCTTAAGTCCCTTTTAAAGTTTTCCCCTCTCACCTTAAACCTATGCCCTCTAAGTTTGGACTCCCCTACGCCATGGAAAAGACTTTGTCTATTTACCCTATCCATGCCCGTCATGATTTTATAAACCTCTACAAGGTCACCCCTCAGCCTCTGACACTCCAGGGAAAATAGCCCCAGCCCATTCACCCTCTTCATATAGCTCAAACCCTCCAACCCTTGTAAATCTCTAATATCAAAACAAGCAGCAATTTTCAATATATATATTTGTACAAACCAATACAATGATATGTTCCTTGCTTCACTCTTCATTTTTACAAATTTCACGTTCAAACATTAAAGACAGTGAACCAATCCAGTTTTATTCATGTTAGAAGTGTGTCATTCATATGGATGCAGTCAAGACATCTTTACAATCATCTGTCACTCCTTCCATAACTGACAAACTTCACTGCTTACCGGTCAGTTTGTCTTGTCTTGAATTGATTCAGCTATCTGTCACTGCAAGTAAGCTCCTTGAGGCAAAGCCTTTTTGCTGGGGTGACTGCCCTTTCCTCCAGGATTGGATCAGAGATGGGAATCTCAAGCTGCCTTGATCCACATTAGCAGAGCTGCTTCACAATTGGGACAGGGAGCTGTCCTCGTCCTTTTCCTTGCTGGAGAGGGTGTGTACTAGTTGAACTCATACAAACAGCACAGAAACAGACCCTTCGGCCCATCACGTGTACACTGACCAACAAACACTAATCTACACTAATCCCATTTACCTGCACTTGGTCCGTAGCCTACTATGTCCTGGCATTTTAAGTACCCAACCAGATGCTTCTTAAAAGTTTCAAGAGTACCTGATTTCACCACTCTCTCAGGCAATGAGTTCCATATTTCTACCACCCTCTGGTTAAAAAATATTTCCTCAGATCCCCTCGAACTCACATACTCCTCACCTTAAACCTATGCTGTCTGGTCTTAAATACATGGGGAAAAGATTCTCATGATCTATTCTGTCAATGCCTCTCATAATTTTGTACACCTCAATCAGATCCCTCCTCAGCCTCCTCTGCTCCGGGGAAAGCAAACCCAGCCTGTCCAGTCTGTTCTCATAACTGAGACTTTTCATCCCAGGCAACATCCTGGTGAATCTCCTCTACCCCCTCTCCAGTGGATTCACATCCTTCCAATAATGCGGCAACCAGAACTACACACAGTATTCCATCTGTGGCCTTACCAATGTTTTATAAAGTTGTAACAAGACTGCCTTGCTCCTATATGCTACACCCTGGCTAATGAAGGCAAGCATCCCGTATGCCTTCTTCACCACCCTGTCTACCTGTGTTGACACCTTCAGGGATCTATGAACTTGTACACCAAGGATTCTGTATTCCCATTGCTCCCAATGGACCTACCATTCATTGTGTATATTCTTAGATAACTCAGTGTGGAGCTGGAGGAGCACAGCAGGCCAGGCAGCATCAGAGGAACAGGAAAGTTGACGCCTCGGGTGAGGACCTTTCCTCATTTCTGAGCAGTTCTTACTATCTCCTTGTGTATATCCCTCCTGTTTTTAAACCTCTCATAATACATTACCTGACACATATGAGAATTAAATTCCATTTGCCATTGTGCTTGAGAATGATTGGCGGAATTTCCCTGTCCATAGTGATGTCTGCTTTTCATTTTGTACCCGGTTTTCCACTTGTTTTATCAAATCCACTTGCTCTCTGACCAACAACACTTTTAACTTGCTCACAAATTTAGCCATGCTTACTGGGTTTGAGTATCCTTTCACAGAGAGATCTTGATGTCAAATGATGGCTTGCCCAGTGCTCCATAGTTACTTGCTGTAGCATGGCATAATTCCTCCCTGATTGATTGGTGCGGTGGACAAATAGGAGGTTGGAAGAACACAGCAGGCCAGGCAGCATCTGGAGGAAATGAGCAGTTAACGTTTTGGGTATGAGCCTACAGGACTGGTTGCATGACAAGCTCACATGACATCAGCTAATCCAGAATTACCAGTCTGGAACAGCAGTTTATCATAGGCATCATTCTATTGGATTTGTTATTCTGCCACCAGGAACGGTTGACAACTTCATTGCAACTGTCATTTTGGGTTATTGAATTTGACAATCATGATTTCACTGTAATTGAAAAAATCACATAATTTAAGATGTCCATTCAGCTAAAGGATTGTTTTATTGAAAATATTTAATTTGCATTCAGATTCCAACCACCACCTGGCAATCTGGGATAAAATCCAGAGCTCGCAAGGAATTTAATCTTTGTGTTAAATTTCTTGACTGGAACAGGTGTTGAAGGCCAATTAGCACAAAAACCAAGCAGCTGCACTCTGCTGTCTATCCCATGTTAGAGAATATTGTGGCTACAGATTGCTAATTTCCAACTTCGCTGAAGTGACACCAAACTTTACACCCATTTTAAAACAACCTGTTGATTAAAAATCTTCAGTTCTTTGCAAACACTTTATGCTTTGCTTTAATTTTATCATCCTAACGTTTAAAAGATGAGGGTGGTTCACATAATTGGTCTGATTTTTCAGCTTTAATACCAATCTTATTTAATCTATACGTTCACAAGCAAATATTTCTGCTTGATTATTTCATTAAAAACATTTTCTTTACTTCTTTATAAATTTTTTTTTCTATTTTCATGCCTTTATTTTCTGAATGTAGAACGGTTAGTCCAGCTTGTCTTTTCTAAAATCACATACTTATTGATAACTTTGATCATCCTACAACAAGGTCTCAGCAGTGACTACTAGATCTGGTAATGAAAGATAAAGACTTACATTTGTATAATGTCATTCACAAGTCCATGGCATTCCAACATGCTTTAAAATGCATTAAGTGCTTCTGAATTTTATTCACTGTTGTAAAGTAGGAAAGACAGCAATCAATTGCTGTTTGGCAAAGTCCACTACCAACTATTCAATAATATCCAGATAAAGTATCAATTGTGATATAAACATTGGCCATAAATTCATACTAGTTTCTTGGCTATCAAGAAATTTTTCATCTGCCTCATTTGCCAAGCTCCCATTGAGAGGAGGATAACGGTTTGAAAAATGGCCCACCATAAGACGCTGCTGTTAGTTTCTTCATTTATTTGACGAAATTCTTCTTCACGTGACTGCAGATAAGAAAGAAGATTTAGATGTATTGCTTAAATGATCATATATATCAGGACTTTATTTGAAAATTACACTCAATTTTCTGAATATCATAAGAGCTTTCATTGAAATGACGTTTCTTGAAATAATAACTTTCTATTCTATTTGTGTGTTCTATTACAGCATCAAAATTACATAAAACAGGAACTTTTCCATAACTTTGCTGAAATAATTCATTTTGGAAAGTTGAATTTGAATGCAGAATACCGGGTTAATGGCAGGATTCTCGGCAGTGTGGAGGAACAGAGGGATCTCGGGGTCCACATCCATAGATCCCTCAAAGTTGCTACCCAAGTTGTTAGGGTTGTAAAGAAGGCGTATGGTGTGTTGGCTTTCATTGGCAGGGGAATTGAGTTCAAGAGCTGCGAGGTTATGCTGCAGCTCTATAAAACTCTGGTTAGACCACACTTGAAATATTGTGTTCAGTTCTGGTCACCTCATGATAGGAAAGATGTGGAAGCTTTAGAGAGGGTGCAGAGGAGATTTACCAGGATGCTTCCTGGACTGGAGGGCAGGTCTTATGAGGAAGGGTTGAGGCAGCTAGGGCTTTTTTCATTGGAGCGAAGGAGGATGAGAGGTGACTTGATAGAGGTGTACAAGATGATGAGAGGCATAGATAGATTGGATAGTCAGAGACTTTTTCCCAGGGCAGAAATGACAATTATGAGGGGGCATAATTTTAGGGTGATTGGAGGAAGGTATAGGGGAGATGTCAGAGGTAGGTTCTTCACACAGAGAGTGGTGGGTGTGTGGAATGCGCTGCCTGCAGTGGTAGTGGAGTCGGATACTTTAGAGACTTTTCAGCGACTCTTGGATAGGCACATGGAGGATTATAAAATGTAGGGTATGCAAGGTAGATTGATCTTAGTAGGATAATAGGTCGGCACAACATCGTGGGCCGAAGGGCCTGTACTGTGCTGTACTGTTCTATGTTCTATGTTCGTTTCATTCACCACTGACACTCAAGATGCATTGCAGTACCTCACTAAGGCTCCTACTTCAAAATCCACAACCTCTATCATCTAACAGGATAATGGCAGCAAATGCATGGCTACAGTCCCATCTGCAAGTTCTTCTCCAAGCTTACCATCCTGACTGAGAATCATTTTGCCATTCCTTCACTGTCACTGGGTCAAGATCTTGGAACTCATTTCCAACAGAACTGCCGAGTCCAAAGCTGCAGCAATTCAAGAAGGCAGCTCATCAACAATATGTCCAGGACAATCAGGGATTGGCAATAGATGCTGGCCTAATCAGTGACATTCAAAATTAAAAACAATGGCCATGGGTCTACCACATCAAAACTCCACCCAGATTTTGACAGACTCCCTTGTTCAGGCCGGAGAGCTACCTCTAATATGATGAAAAATCCAAAGTTCAGAAGGTCATTCAGGTCAGGAGGGGTATCTCTATAAATCAGAAAGCTGATACAACTATTCCTTGCATACAAACACTGTCATACCCTCTGGTAATCCTGCTGTCTGCTGATATATTGCATCTGGTTTAGCAAATGCAGCATTCTTTCCTTCACTTCATTCATCGTGTCTTTAGTTTCTTCAAGAGACTCGTCAATGGCCTGTTCACCAACTTGAACATCCAGATTTATGCGCTGTAAAACAGAATAGATGAAATGGCAATGGTATTAAAAATGAAAAGTGCAGCAACTCCTGAAAAGATAACTTTATGTACTCATAGATTCAGAGAGATGTTTAGCACAGAAACAGACCCTTCGGTCCAACTCATCTATGCCAATGAAATATCCTAAATTAATCTAGTCCCATTTGCCAGCATTTGGCCCATATCCTTCTAAACCCTTCCTATTCACATACCCATCCAGATGACTTTTAAATGTTGTAATTGTACCAGCCTCCACTTCCTCTGGCAGCTCATTCCATACATGCACCACGCTCTGCGTGAAAACATTGCTTCTGAGGTCCCATTTAAATCTTTCTTCTCTCTTCTTAAACCTATGTCCTCTAGTTTTCCTACCCTGGGGAAAATACCTTGACTATTTACCCTATCCATGCCCCTCATAATTTTATAAACTTCTTTAAGGTTACCCCTCAGTCTCTGACACTCCAGGGAAAATAGCCGCAGCCTGTTCAGCCTCTCCTTATAGCTCAAACCCTTCAACCCTGGCAACATCCTTGCAAAAGCCAAAAGAACTGCGGATGTTGTAAATCAGGAACAAAAACAGAAGTTGCCGGAAAAGCTCAGCAGGTCTGGTAGCACCTGTGAATAAAAATCGGAGTTAACCTTTTGCTACAGTGTTCAAACGAGGCTCAGCGCAAGCTCGAAGAACAGCACCTCATTTTCCGCTTGGGGACCCTGCAGGTCTCCAGTCTCAATATCGAGTTCGATAATTTTAGGGCCCAAACTTTCTAATGTCCTAGCCCCCTACTCCATGCACCAGGCCTTGTTATCATGTAGTCTGCCATTACACCTATTGTTAGTCACGAACAGTCCCCATTAACAGCTAATCACCCTCCTAGCCAGATCGTTATCAACTCCTTTGTCTATTCAACTGCTCTTCTCTCTCTTTGGACTCCATTTCCCATCCTCCCACCCTATCTCTGCATATAAACCAACATTTTCCTAGCCGCCATCAGTTCTGAGGAAGGTTCATCCAGACCCAAAGTGTTAACTTTGATTTTTCTTCACAGATGCTGCCAGACCTGCTGAGCTTTTCCAGGAACTTCTGTTTTTGCTGTTGTTGTAACATCCTTGTAAATCTTTTCTGAGCCCTTTCAAGTTTCACAACATCTTTCCTATAGCAGGGAGACCAGAACTGAAGCCAGTATTCCAAAAGTGGCCTAATCAATGTCCTGTAGAGCCACAACATGACCTCCCAACTCCTATACTCAATGCATTGACAAATAAAGACAAACATACTAAACACCTTCTTCACTACCCTGTCTATCTGTGACTCCACTTTCAAGAAACTATGAACCTGCACTCCATGGTCATTTTGTTTGGCAACACTCCCCAGGACCTTACCATTAGGTGTATAAGCCCTGCCCTGTTTCATAGAATCCCTACAGTGTGGAAACAGGCTCTTCAGCACAACAAGTCCACACCAACCTTTGGAGCATCCCACCCAGACCCATCTCCCTATAACACACATAAGCTACACACCCCTGAACATTACAGGCAATTTAGCATGGCCAATCCACCTAACCTGCACATCTTTGAACTGTGGGAGAAAACCAGAGCACCCAGAGGAAACCCACACAGACACAGGGAGAGTGTGCAAACTCCACACAGGCATTTGCCCAAGGGTGGAATTGAACCCAGGTCCCTGGTGCTGTGAGGCAGCAGTGCTAACCACTGAGCCACCATGCCACTCACAAAATGTAGCACCTCACACTTATCTAGATTAAACTCCATCTGCCACTCCTCAGCCCATTGGTCCATTTGATCAAGATCCTGTTGTACTCTGAGGTAACCTTCGCTGTCCACTACACCACCAATTTAGGTGTCATCTGCTAATTTACTAACCATACCTCCTATATTCATATCTAAATCATTTCTGTAAGTGACAAAAAACAGTGGGCCCAGCAATATTGAGGTCTGAATTTAGTTGAGCTTCCCTAAAATTATTTGATGGCGGTCCTGTCTATCTCTTACTATGGTTACAAAAGATGATGAGAAGAATTTCTGTTGAACTTCAATGCAATTATAATTTCAGCATAAAGTAAAGTTATTCCTGGCTTTTTAAAACAGAGACCAGAATAACAAATACTCAGTTTCAGAAAAACAGTTCTCACCATTGTCTGATGTTATTATTGCGCCATCTGCACTTAGACTCATAAACTGTGTTCTAATAATTGGCAGCAAATTGTCTTGGAATGTGCGGAGTCATTGAAAGGTACTATTTAAATGCAAGGTCTCCTCTCTGTAGAAATTTACAACAGTTATTTTTATGGACACAATTTACAGAACAGGAAATCATTTACCAAGTGTGCCCCATCACTAATTCCAATAGTAATAAAAAAAACTATTTCCACTGCGTTATTGTATCACTGCATGTTCTTCTTCAAATATTTGTGCATTTTTTTCTTAAAGTTACATTTATCTTTAGTGAACCAACTCTGTATGTGAGTGACTGTTTTAAATTAAATCACCACACTGAGGCAAAAGGCTTTCCCTATTCATTCTATCAGAAGCTTGCTTAATTGTAAAACCTGCATTAAATCTGAGTCTCTTTCTGTTCCCCAGTGGAATGACCTTGGACCAGATATTCTTCTGCCACTGGGGGTAGGAATGGAGTCAGGGAAGCATACAATTTAGACTTTTGACGCAAATTCCAAGTTACAATGCCTTCCCGATCCAAGCTACTTTTGTGTGGCCTCATCATGGATCAGGGTGCCTTGGTACATGTATCCCACCTCAAACTGCTTTGTTGTGAGGATCACAGGAAATTTGAATTTCCTTCCCCTTGTTATTTTTGTGTTCTGGTGCAGATTTTGAAAGCATGTAAGGAAAATCCGTCATGGTTAGGGATTCATGGCCTCTCAATGAAGGCTGCTGAGGAATCTCAAACATGTGAACATATGAATTAGGAAATGGAATAGGTCATACTGACAGGCCAATGTTAAATGATTTTACTCCTGCAAATTGTCATTAATACTGGCTATATTGTAAATATGTTTTTAATGCAACAATTGAGCGTAAGACTCTGTCCTGCAAAGGTCCGTTGAAAATTATATTAACCACCATTGTACTGATGTGAATTACAGTACTTTTCCAAGTGGAGAAAGTGAAATGTTGAATTCAGAATTGCAGAAAGATATGCTGAGAAACACTCCTGTGGTGTTTGAATTGAGGTTTAAATGTCTGGCTATCTATAGCTTTTCAAAAAGTGGCCTTGCTGTTGAAGATGAGAAAATTCTAAACATATGTTACATTCCTTCAACCGACAGGCAATCAATGTTGAAATGGAAATGAGCACCATTCTGAAGCTGAAATTAAAGCTAAAGAAACTCTGAAGAAGAGTCATACAGGATTGAAGCTGTTTCTTTCTGGATGGTGTCAAACCTCTTGAGTATTGTTTGAGCTGCACGCATCCAGGCAAGTGGAACATTTTCTATTACTCTCCTGATGCATGCCTTGAAGTTGGTAGATAGACTTCAGGGAGTCAAGATGTGGGTTATGTACTGCAAAATTCCTAGCCTCTGACCTGAACTTGTAGTTTAATTCTGTTTAATTCTGTTTCTGGTCAATGGTAACTCCCAGGATATTTCTTTACACAGAGAGTGGTGGGTGTGTGGAATGCACTACCGGCAGTGGTAGCGGAGTCAGAGACTTTTAAGCAACTCTTGGATAGGCACATGGAGGATTATAAAATGTAGGGTATGCAAGGTAGATTGATCTTAGTAGGATAATAGGTCGGCACAACATCGTGGGCCGAAGGGCCTGTACTGTGCTGTACTGTTCTAGTTCTATGTTCTATATATTGATATTGAGGCACTTACAATGGTAATGCCATAGAATGTCAAGAAACAATGGTTGGACATTGTTGGATATGGTTATTGCCTAGCACTAAGTCGTGTGAATGTTACTTGTCACTTTATCAGCCCAAGCCTGGACTTTTCCATTTCTTGCTGCCAATAGACACAGACTTTGATGAATTTGAGGAGTTAGGAATGATGCTGAACATTGGGCAGTCATCAGTGAGCATCCCTACTTTGGAACTTATAGTGAAAGGAATCTCATCGATGTAGATGCTGAAAATGGTTAGGCCTCGGGCACCACCCTGAAGAACTCCTGCAGTAATGGCCTTCAGCTGAAATGATTAACCTCCAACGACTACAACCATTTCCCAATGTGTTAGGCATGACTCCAAACAGATTAGCTTTCTTCCTGATGCCCCATTTATTTAAATTTTTCTTGGGCTTCTTTACATAATACGCAGTCAAATGCTGCCTTGATATAATGGAAAGTAAGTACTTCCTCACCTCTGGAGTTCTGCTATTTTGTCCATTTTTGGACTAAGGCCTTAATGAGGTCAGGAATCAAGTGGTGAAACCCAAACTGGGCATCCGAGAGTAGGTTCCTCTTTAGCAAGTGTGGTTTGATGGCTGTAGATGACCCCTTCTATCACTTCACTGATGATCAAGAGCAGTCTTGAAAATATATCACTGACACTGGTTTGTATTCTTGGAGATGCAGCTCTTTAGAAGAGACAATAAGCTAAGGATCATTTCTATCCATTGTAATGGATACTAAGCATCTAGAACAGGCAGCAGAAATTTCAAGTTTCCTGACCAAACAGCTCCAAACCCATCTTAAATACATTGCTGTTTGTGGGATTGTTGTCATATACAAAACGATTGCTGGACTTCCCTTCATAAGAGCAGTATAGTTAATCAAATTAATTTCTTGTGTCTAAAACATTTTCAGATGTTTATGGAATACATAATTAAGAAGGTGCAATGTAAGCTACTTAATAATGTTCTTGAATAATCATGTGTATGCTTGGGATTTTTCATGCAAATAAGTGAATAGTGAGTCTACTTTGATGAGATGAGAATTTTTTTCACCCAAAGAGTGTAAACCTGTGGAATTCTCTGTCACAAAAATATTGAATGTTTTCAAAGAGTTGGATAT